GAATAAAAAAAGAAAGAAAACAACCCTTAAGGGAGAGTCCCTTTCATAAGTGAAGGTGCCACTTAGAAAATTCTCTAGACCCCAATTTCTTGAAGCTTAAACAACTAACCATGTCCATCTTTCATAAGACCTGTTGAGATTGTTGCAACTTAGTTTTTCGATTGTTGATATTCATGCAACATGTATGTTTTTGATGATTCCAAATATTATTATTTTTTTTTACCTTTTCTCTTAATATATTTTGATGTCTGTATTTTTTATTTTATTGAGTCTAAGAGTGTGATTGTAATTAAGTAACAGTGCAAACACACTAGGGGAGTGTTTAAAATTTGTAATATTTAAACTGATCATACTGTACGAAGTCATTTCATATGGGACAATTTGTTCAGTTATTTTCCCTTGCAAGCAGTTAAATAAACTGCATGTAGAAAATTTTTTGTAAGTACCGATCATACTGTACGAAGGTTCCTTCGTACAGACAACATCCAGAATACGAATTAGATGGGTACCTTTTCATCCCTATGAATTGAAAGTTTCTTCTTAATTGATCGTACTGTACGATCCCTTGTCAGTACAGATGATGTCCAAAGTATGAATTAGATGGGTCCCTTTTCATCCCGACGAATTCAAAGTTTCTTCTGAACTGATCGTACTATACAATATCTTGTTCGTATAGATGATGTCCAGAGCACGAATTGGACGGGCCCCTTTTTGTCCTGATGAACTTGAAAATTTTCTAAATGTATCATTTTGTACGATTCCCTGTTCGTACAAACGATGTCCAGAGTACGAAAATGTGGGGTACCATTTCATCCCGACGAAGATGAAAAATTTTCTAACTGTTCCTACATTACTGGAAGATCATCGTGTATGAAATCATTTCATACAGATTCACAAATGGTTCGTACATAATAGTTTTTGAACTATTCATATGTACGAACATATGATCGTACACGCTCAAACTGGAAAATTTCAGTTTTCTGGTTGGTTTTTCATGTCTTTCATATAAAAGGTCCTTAAAAACTAACCTAAAAAGAGTTGTTCTTCATGATTTTTCATTGACAAGTGAAAGAGTGATTGTGGGAGAGTGTTTGAGAGAGATTTCTTGCAAGTCGAGTGTTAAGGGTTCACAAGGTTACTCAATGGTAAGGATCTCTTTGTGTTTTTAGTTACCACTCTTCTTTTCATTTTTCTAGTTGCTCGTGAGAGGATCTTTTAAGAAGATTAGATTCTCTACCAACACTTGGAGGTGTGAAAGGATGAAGGTTCTATGCCGACACTTGGAGGGTATGTAAGGATGACAGTTCTCTGCTGATACTTAGAGGGTGTGAAAGGATGGCGATTCTCTACCGATACTTGGAGGGTGTGAAAGGATGACGGTTCTCTACCAACACTTGGAGGGTGTGAAAGGATGAATGTTCTCTGCCACACCGGAGATTGGTGGAATAGAGGAATTGAAAAGGCTTCTCTACCTTGCAGTGGGGGAAAAAGGAGAGTCACTTTAGAAATACTGCAATACCTAAAGAGAGAGTCTTCAAGAAGTGGATGTAGGTCATGTTTGACCGAACCACTATAAATCTTTATATCTTTTTATTTTCTGCACTTATTTTATGTAATTTATTTAATGTGGTTGAAATGCTTATTTTAATCTAAAATCAAATTGCTATAAAATTTAAAATGGTTTTCTATTAAAAAATCTAACATAATTTTTAAATTACCAATTCCCCCCCCCCTCTTTGTTAGCCTTGGGACAATTTCTTAGGTTTAATAATTTATACAGAATCAACAAGTTTGAAGTCCTGGTTTTAAAGTGCCTATGTGATTTAGCTTGCTTTCCAATCTAGGTCGATGTAAGTTCATAATTGCATTGCATTAGTTATATTTGGGTTACAATTGTTTAGTTCCCAACTTAGATATAGGTTTGGTGCCGGACCTAAAATCATACCCAACATGAAGCAATTAGTCTAAAGTTTCTAATAATATGTCAACTCAAACTAAATCTCGAATCCTCCAAAATTTAAAGCTCTATATAGGATAGAATGGAGTACTTTTGAATAGTTTTTAGAATCCTAAAGTGCACTCTATATTTCATCGATTGGTCTACAAAATTAATGCTCAAAATTTGTTGATGAACCAATGATGGGCCACATGGAAATGTCAACTGAATACGTAATTGAGGGTTTAAATTTTATGTAAAATCAATGGAACTTTGAAAAATGATTTCTCCTCTTTTAATTGTCCAAATCAAAAGATCTTAGACTCTATGTTTTTAGCTTGAGGAGTTAGTATGAAACACCCATGGTTTTAGGTCATGGTTATTAACACAATAAGTGTAATTCTAAAAATATCCTATGGTATATTTCTTCATTTATTTGTAAAACATTAATCATTAGAGGATTAAATTTATGAGAATGATTTTAAGTTGTGTTTTATGAATACCCAAAATTTTTCAATTTAGTTTAAATTTCTTAAGAGTTCCAAATGATTTTTCTTAACTTATAGAACATAAATAACTAAAAATATATAAAAAATAATAAATTAATCTCAAACACTTGAAATAATCCTTAAAATTCATCTCAAACATTTGGAGAGAATTGCTAGAGGTTTGTAGTTGATTGGGTACATAAATAAGAAAATGCCTCTAATTAAAAAATTAAATGAATACAAATATGCATTAAGCTTGTAAAAATCATTACTAGTTACAAAAATTCCAAATTGAGCAAATTTAAAGGCATTGGACTCATCTCTAGGTCTAGTATTATGAAAATTATAAAAACTCTATAATTCATTATAAATTAAAGAGTGAATTTGGTCGAACCAAATATACACAAATGTTTAAATTTTTTAAATCCATAATTGCGTATAGAAAAATCTTAGTCCAACAAACTCAAATGCATTAGACTCATAATAAAATCTAGTATTTATAGAAAATATTAAAATTTAGGATGACAAAATAAAAAGTCAAGAAATGAACCCCATATTAAATGCATTAAAATATTTATTAAAATACAAAAAACTCAATAAATCTTCAAAATTTCAGTAAATAAACAACCTAATGAATTAAATTAGATAAGAACAAAAAAATAAATAACTAACACTCTAGTAATAAAAATTTTAGGCTAGACTACCTCAAACAATGGGTTAGGTGCTCTAAGGAGGCCTTGGTCCTCATGCCCATTATGATAACACCCTGAAAGAATTTGATAAAATGTAAACTTTAAAATTTTAAATTTAATAAATCATCTATAAATAAAACTAAATAAATTTAAAAGTTAATAAGATAATATTTAGACATTATAGATTCTATACCCATGTGTTTGATTCCTTTTAGGAGGTCAAATGTGTACCAGATAGAAAAGCTTTAAGGAGCAAAACACTAAATTAAAATAAAAGACTATATACTATCCATTTACCCAAGTTTTCGAGGAATGGTAGCATTACAAATATGAGCCCAGGACTTGCTGATCAATAGCTTTTAGCACATAGAAGTTATTGAGTGCTATGTTTTATAAAATTTGAAATTAATAATTACGACAATTAAATTCTCTTTAAAAAAAAATTAAATTCAAAATATTAAAATCATTAAATACTTAAATTTAAGCCATCCCTTAAAGAACTTAAATAAATTAAATTAATTATAAAAAAATTTTAAAATAAAAAAAAACTAGGACATATCCAAGCCACATAATCTTTTACATACACTTAGATGGTTTTATAGGACAACCAACTATAGCCTTGTCTAGGCCAGTGATTTCATTTTATTTGTTTGGAGTGCCTTGCCTAGGGGGTACTCATGATTGTGTGTCTACTTTTTGTATTATGAATGTTATATTTAATTTATGTTGGTGTACCAAAGATCGAAGAGAAAATTTAGGGCCATGTAATTTTATTTCAATATAAATTTTTATATATACAACTGCTCACACTTCACCATTTCATATGTGCATTTTATATAATTTCTCTTTTGTATTCCTCTAAAGTAAAATATACCTATGAAATGATGTAAAGATAAATTTAAAAGTAATTATTTAAATGTTTTAAATCATTATATAGTTAAATTGACTTATAATGTGTGAAGAGTTATAAAAGATTAAAAGTGATTGTTTATATATGTATATTTATTCTAAAAATAAAGATTCTTCTTCTTTTGAAGATCATTATCTTTTGGAATACTATAGAAGATCCAACATTAAGAATATAGAAGAAAAGAAATAAATAATTATAATCAAATCTATATTGTTGACATGTAAACAATGGTCAAACCCCTCGACTCAACTTATGATCAGATTAAACCATCAGCTTGTTTCAACCACCCACGATCCCACTTATCAAAAATGCTCACGATAAAATTGAATGCACGGGTATATTACATGCATATGCACATAGAGAAAGAGAACAAAAAGGGGATTTTATAATAACAGCTACAAGCAAAGCTGAAGCCCCACTCCTCTTTATGTGATCGACGCCTCCCTCCTCACTATCTGAACCCGCTGTGCCCTAGCAACGTCGAAGCCACCACCGCTCCACTACCTATCTTCTCCAAGCCTTAAGTTATTGTCGCCTCCATTAATTTGCAAATGCTATCAGTCCACTTTCACAAGAGCCTAAAAAACTCTTGCTCGTGCCCTAGGTGGCCTGACCAGCCACCAATTAAGTCTAACTTCCCCTTTGCTAACGTCTGCACCCGACTCCATCTGCCTGAACTTTGTATAGCCTCCATTTATGCCCTGGCTCGATTGTCTCTCTCTTCCTCTCTTATTATATATATCTTATGTGAAGAAGGTTAGAAGTTAAGAATAGAGCCGCTGGAGGCGGAGCGAAGCAGAGGGAAGAAGACCAGAACAATAGAGAAAAGTATAAAACTGTATATCTGAAGATGGTTACAGAGTACATATTTATAAACAGGAAATGGTAAAATAGGTAAATAAGATATGTGCCTAGACCGTGTGCTTATAGGCTCCCTCAAATTAGGCATTCGTGGAACGAATGGATAATTTGGATCAGAGATAGTAAAATCGAGTAGAAGCAAACGGTTTAGTTAAGATATCAGCAATTTGTGCTTCAGAGGGTAAATGTTGAATATGAATGTCGCCGGTAGAGATGTGTTGTCTGATAAAATGGTAGTCGATCTCGATGTGCTTCGTCCTTGCGTGGAACACCGGATTCTTGGCAATAGCTATTGCAGAGACATTGTCATAGTGAATTGTTGTGGGTGTTGTTTGATCAAGTTGTAGTTCGGCGGAGAGACGTCGGAGCCATAAGACCTCTGAGGCGGCAGCTGATAAAGCCCTGTATTCTGCTTCGGTGGATGACTTGGCGACCGTGGCTTGTTTCTTGACATACCAAGATATCAAATTTGGTCCTAGGAAGGTACAATAACCGGAAACAGACTTCCGGTTGGACTGGTCAGACGCCCAGTCTGCATCTGTGAATGTCTGTAGCCGAACATCTCCTGGTATAATTGGAAGCCCGAAGTTAGAAGTGCCTTTAACGTAGCGAAGAATACGTTTAAGGTTTTGGAAGTCTTGCGTCGTAGGTTGTTGCATATGTTGGCAAGCCCGATTGGTTGCAAATGCTATGTCCGGGCGCGTTATCGAGAGGTATTTAAGTGATCCTGCGAGCCGTCGATATAGCTGAGGATCTGGAAAGAGTTGAGTGTTGACAGTTCTGTTTGTAGAAGCTGGAACGATAGGGGTAGGGGCTGCCTTGCATTGCTCAAACCCGGCATCCTGGATCAGTTTATTTGCATAGTGTTCTTGGGTGAGGAAGAACCCGTCTGAATTTCGCAGAACTTGAATTCCTAGAAATAGGGATATCTGTCCAAGTTGCTTGAGGGCGAAGCTGTTGTGGAGTTCCGCGAGCAGCACTTGAATGCTAGGTTGATCGTTACCTGTGACAAGAATGTCGTCAACATAGATTAAGAGATATATGTGAATATGATTTTTGGAAAATATGAGAAGAGAAGGGTCGGAGCGACTGAACCCGAAACCACGTGATTGCAAAAAACTTGTGAATTTTTGGAACCATTGTCGTGGCGCTTGTTTGAGGCCGTAGAGAGATTTGTGCAAACGAGGTTTGGTTGACTTGTGTCCTCAAATCCGGGTGGTTGGCGCATGTAAATGTCATCGGGTAGATCACCATGGAGAAAAGCATTTGAAACATCTAGTTGGAGCATCTCCCAATTGCGATTTACTGCAAGGGTGAGAAGAAGACGGATGGTGGGATTTTTGCAACGGGACTGAACGTTTCGGTGTAGTTTTCACCATACGTTTGATTATAGCCGAGAGCTACCAATCTTGCTTTGTTCTGTTTCTGATTTAATACGACTTCTGTTTCCGTACAATTCTGTTCTGATATGATCTGAGTTTCTGATTTCTGTCTGATGAGTTTGGTTTTGGATTCTGAGAGTTTTGATTGGTGGTTTGTTGCTTTGCTGAGCTGTTGAGCTCACTCTTGTTTTCTGGTGGTTTTCAGGTTCTGGGAAAGGGAAGGAAGTCCAGGAGTAGATTTCTGATTCTGATCCGTATAGGTATTGTTTGTACCTTTTGATTTTTGTACAGTCATGGCTTTTCTGTTCTGTCTTTCTTTCTGTTCAAAAGCCATGTACTGTATCTGTAGATGATTGTTTTGAGGAAAATGAAAATATAGATGTTTTGTTCCGCTGTGTTTGATGATTCATAGTGGCTCTGTGTTTGTGTGTCTGTTGAGTTGATTAATTTGGAAGATTCAGTTCAGTAACCAAATTCCAAAGCCAGATCCTGGATAAAAGGTTTTGTCGCGGCCCGGTGCGAGCAGGATCCGTCCCGGATCGGGTCGGGTCGTGACAGATTCTTCCAATTTCCACCATGTAATGCATATGTATGATGTGCTACATCAAGTCAAGGCCATCCCCTCAAGGAATGGCCTAATCGACATCAAACTCTAGTGGATTCATTCAAATTGGACTAGGCCAGTGGTTTTTCTCCTTTTTAATGTTTTCCACGTAAAAATCTTTATGTATCTTATAAATATTGCACCCTCTCTGTTATGTGATTGTGTGTTGGATCTTCGTACAAAACTAAGGCGTTAAACTTTATAATATACTAGGATGCAACTATATATATCTAATAAATTTTATTATTATTTTTTATTTTATATAAGTTAATTATCAATAGTATATTTTGTGAAAAGGATTAGAGGAGAAGAACTGAGCCGCTGGAGGCGGAGCGAAGCAGAGAGAAGAAAACGAACAATAGAGAAAAATATAAAACTGTATATCTGAAGATGGTTACAAAGTACATATTTATAAACAGGAAATGGTAAAAATAGGTAAATAAGATATGTGCCTAGACCATGTGCTTATAGGCTCCCTCAAATTAGGCATTCGTGGAAAGAATGGATAATTTGGATCGGAGATAATAAAATCGAGTAGAAGCAAATGGTTTAGTTAATATATCAGCAATTTGTTCTTCAGAGGGTAAATGTTGAATATGAATGTCGCCGGAAGAGATGTGTTGTCTGATAAAATGATAGTCGATCTCGATGTGCTTCGTCCTTGCGTGAAACACTGGATTCTTGGCAATAGTGAAGATTGGAACAAGAATTTTAGGAAAAATGGGTTGCTGGGTAAAGGTTTGAGTAGGGATTTTGTTTGGTTGCTTATTGTGGTAGGGATAACTAGCCTCATAGAAGACAACGTGGCGGGAAATATAGATTTTGTGATTGTCGATGTTGAAACATTTGTAGCCCGATGAGGAGAGTAACCAACAAATGCACATTGTTGAGAGCGAGGTTGAAGTTTATTTGTTTTGTATGGTTTTAACCATGGATAACAAAGGCAACCAAACGCACGAAGATGAGTATAGGAAGGAGATTTATTGTAAAGAGCTTTGTGAGGTGAATTACTGTGAAGGGCTTTGGAGGGTAGAAGATTTATTGTGTAGTTTGCAGTATCCAAGGCTTCAGCCCAGAATTGATCTGGGAGGTGAGAGGTATGAAGCAAGGCACGAGTTATGTCAAGTAGATGCCGGTGCTTCCTTTCCGCGAGCCCATTCTGTTCGGGTGTGTGAGGACAACTCATGTGATGCTGAATACCGTGGTCCTGGAGGTAGGATTTAAACGCAAGGCTAGTGAATTCCCCTCTGCCATCAGATCTGAATGTTTTAGGAGTGGTTTTATATTGATTTTGGATTAAGCTGCAAAACAATTTAAATTTTGTAAGTGTTTCATTTTTGGAATGCATGAAGTACAACCAATAGTATCGAGTAAAATAATCCACAAATATGACATAGTATCGAAAGCCTTGTAAAGACGCTACGGGTGCCGGCCCCCATACATCCGAGTGAATAAGCTCGAATGGGTGTGAGGTAACCAAGCTGCTATCTGTAAAAGAATGTTTGTGGCTCTTGGCCATATTACAGGAATTGCAAAAAAAAAAGACAAAGAAAAGTTCTTGAGCTCAGGATTTTCTTGAGCCAGAGCATGAAGAATTCTGTTATTCGGGTGACACAGGCAGGTGTGCCAGGTAGCTGAAGAAGTTGTAGTAGTGTGGAATGCTTGCGGTTGTTTGTCCGTAGCGACATGAAGTTGGTAAAGACCGTTACGTAGACGGCCACGAACTAGTAGATGATTGTCCTGCATATCCTTGACAGTAAAGCCATTAGAGTCGAAAGTTATGGAAATCTTATTGTCTGTGGTTAGTTTTGAGACTGATAAAAGGTTGTGAGTAAGAGAAGGAACATGAAGAAGATTGCATAGGTGAAGCTTACGGGGCGTGTCCGGTAACGGAAGCAAACCTTGACCGTAGTTTTGTATCGGCAGCGATGAACCATTGGCAATTGTGACCGATTCTTGACCTGTGTAAGGGGAGGGTTGGTGAAGCATATTGCTGTCGGAGGTAAGATGCGTGGTAGCGCCAGTGTCTAAGATCCACGGTTGGTAAGAGTTCGGCGACGGCTGGGCAAGCATTGCGCGGGGGCCATTGGTGATAGTGGGTGCGAATTTGAGATTGCACCTGTGCCAACAGTTGATGGCGATGTGTCCAATCTTGCCGCAGATTTGGCATGTTGGGCGTGCTGCAGAGGAGGTTGCGGACGAAGAAATGTTGTCACTGTCTTCAGGTTGCCGAGCTTGAGTATTCTTGGGTTTGTTGAATCGTTTTTGATAACGATTTCCGGGCTGATTTTGAGAGGTGGCATAGAGAACAGTAGCATTGAGTAAGGACTGATCTTTGTGTAAATCTTGATTTATATGAATCTCTTCACTGCAGAGAAGTGAATAGAGATTGTCGACCGGAAGCGGAGATGTGCGGATCGCAGTTTTGAACGAGTTGTAGGAAGGAGGTAGTCCATTTAGGGTGTGGAGAACTACATCTTCCGGATCAATGTTGACGCCGGCTGCTGCAATATTGTCAACGATGGTCTTGATTTGTGACAAGTATTGTTGCATAGTGAGATTGTTCATTTGGATATGATGGAGCTCGTTCTTGAGCTGAATCACGCAAGAACGGCTTGTGGATTGTAATCGGCGTTCGAGCGTCGTCCAGACCTCGTGTGAGGTTGTTGCAGTGATGACATACGGAAGAAGAGGAGGCGATATTGAGGAGAAAAGTGCAGAGATGAGATGACTGTCAATAAGATGCCATCGAGCGGATTCAGCGGAGGAGGAGTCGGACGGAGGAAGGCATTTTCCGGTAAGATGATCGGAGTAGCCATTAGCGGAGAAGTTTTGACAGACTTGAAGACGCCAGATAGCATAATTTTCAGGAGAAAGAGGATGGGGAATTAGATTCTTGATATTTGAGATCAAGAATTTGAGGGATACCGGAATAGCAAGATCGTTTGTCAAGCTGGTGGTGTTGGTGGAGTTGGGAGGGAGGGAAGAAGATGCTTCTTGATCTCCCATAACCGCTCTGATACCATGTGAAAAGGATTAGAGGAGAAGAACTGAGCCGCTGGAGACGGAGCGAAGCAGAGAGAAGAAAACGAACAATGGAGAAAAATATAAAACTGTATATCTGAAGATGGTTACATAGTACATATTTATAAACAGGAAATGGTAAAAATAGGTAAATAAGATATGTGCCTAGACCATGTGCTTATATATTTTATGAAGACTCATTTGCAGAAGGAACTCACAAGAGGCACTCTCTCAAGGCACTCACCAAAGGTACTAGCCGAAAATAGGCAAACGTGTTGCAATGTCATGCTAGAGAAGTTTGTGCCTTCCATGTATCTATATCAGTCAAATCATCTCTATATCAGTCAAATCATGTATTTATATTATTATTCCTTAGGTGTAATCGCTCTAAGAGAGTGAGTGGTATTTTTTTAGCTTCATGTCAATAACTATTCACAAGTATGATATAGAGCTAGCACTAGGAGAAATTATTCTTTGCTAACACAAAATGGTCCGAAGATAAATTAGAATGTGTCATGTATACCGAACAAAAAAAGTGATGTGAGACGTTCTGGTTGATCTCCGGACGCCGTCTCATATCCGCACAAAATATTTTTTCTAGCATTAGAGCTTTTACTTCACACTCGCCCAACACTTTCTTTCTTTTGCTTTGAAGTAGTCGAGTTAGTTTCATGAGTAGACTCAAGGTGTTGCCTATAATTATTTTTTGATCCAACAAATATAATAACTATATTTCATATGTAGGCCTACAATTTTAGCTATTTATAAATTTTTCAACTTTTTATCTTAATTTATCAAAATTTTCACCAAAATTTTGAATTCGTAACAAAATTTTAACCCATATTTTTTCTTCTTTCATCAAATCTCTAGCCATTTGATTGTACACATGTAAATAAATAATTTGCATAGTTTTTTTTTTAAATTGGTAGAAATTTTATAAAAAAGATAAATCTTAATGACATGTAAATACATATTCCTTTGATTTTTTAAACTATTTGTATTATTTTTTAAACTATTTGTATTATTGTTGATACGTTACTGAAAATAGTCTCGATCAAACACAAATCTCGAGGCAAAATCAAATTGGAAACTTCAAAAATTAAATCGGAGATCATCTTAATTCTTATTTAGCAAATTTATAGTCGAACTGAATGTCTCAAAAATATGAACCCAACGACACCAAATTCGACTCAATCTGAGCCCAAATGAGTCCAAATCAAAGACTCGAAGCACTTTTGGAAGGATCAAATCACAATTTGGGTTACCAAACTGTCTCCA